AATTATATCAAGAATATAAATTAGCAAATGGCAAAAGTAGCAGTAATAATTGTTAACGTAAGAACTATTTAAAAATTAGCTAAATTTAGGTCATTGCTAATTTACTATTCGATTTCCGTGGGAATATAGTAGAGCTGGTCTTGAAAATTCATTTTCTCGTCGCAATTCTGTCGTTAGATATGAGTTACAACCTCGAACAGGGCGACAAGCGACGAGGATAATAATGACGGCACGAGTGTTAATTGAGAGAAACATCCCCCTCACGTTTTCTTAACTCATGATGACGGGACGAACGTCAAACAATGAATGTGAACGTTGGGATGTAGCGCGAACGGGCGGTAACAGGGTGGAATCAAGTGGAAGAGAAACCAACAAGTTTAAATTAATTTATATTGACCGTTTAGTTGCTGGGGTTTATCCTATAATTAGTCGGCTGCGTTTTTTTTTATTTATAACCGATTTTCAACCCCATTTTATGATACCCCATTAAGCGAGATCAAAACAGCCGTTTGTGAAATTCATAACAGTTTTTATTCCTTTCAAGAAATTCAATGTCACAAGAGAATTTAAAAAGACATTGCTATCTCGAGAGATTTTACTGAAAATATCCCCTTGATTGCCTTTAATCATGTGGACTAGTGATAAGCCAAAATAGTCTTGCTATTGCAATATTGTCTTGTATCAGTCTTGCACATTTAGCAAGAGCAAGACTGTTAGTATAATTTTCGCAAAATTCGCACTAAAATTTGATATCCATGATGACCTAACCCAAATGCTTGCCTGACGAAAGTTCAACTGTTTTCCGCGAAAATGACATATGTGGTCCTTTTTGAAGATGGTTGCCTGCCTATTTTTTTATCCTAAATTTTTGTACTTTTAGTACAATTTTCGTTTAACCTCTGATAACTATACCTAATAGAATATCCTGTACATATTTATTAATAAGTAATTTTACAGCAACTTGTAGAAATTTCATCTAATATCTTTATTCATTAACTTGAAATAATCGTTGTTTAAATTCCTTTCGGAACATTAAAAATTTCCCTTTTCTGTTATTACCTGATTTATGACACGTTTGTCTATTACCGCGTAGTAAAAGCACTTACTTTTCAAGTCGATAACATGATTGAATGGCTTACATTAAAATTTGTTGAATTGATTGATTTTATCGTGAGAC